CCACCGGTAGGAGGCCCCGGGGAAGATCCAGGACACGCTGGAGGGACTATGTCTCTCGGCTGGCCTGGGAACGCCTCGGCATCCCCCTGGAGGAGCTGGAGGAAGTGTCTGGAGAGAGGGAAGTCTGGGCATCTTTGCTTAGACTGCTGCCCCCATGACCCGGTTCCGGATAAGCGGAGGAAAATGGATTGATGGATGGATCAATCAATCAATCAAATTTTATTTGAACCACAACTAGACGTGCACTCTGAGAGCCAAGTGCTCTGTTAGGATGATAAGGCTCTACGAGGTCTTTAAGATATGATGGAGCCAAGTCACTTTGTATGTTAGGAGAAGGATTTTAAATTCTATTCTGAATTTTAGGGAGCCAGTGGAGAGAAGCTAACATGGGAGAGATACGATCTGTCTTTCTAGTTCCTGTCAGTACTCTGGCTGCAGCATTTTGGATTAACTGGAGGCTTTTTAGGGAACTATTGGGACATCCTGATAGACCGTCCCTGGTAGGCTAGTGATTAAGGCGCTGCGCTCTCGCCACTGCATCCCGGGTTTGAATCAGGGTTGTGTCAGGAAGGGCATCCGGCGTAAAACACGTGCCAAATGTCAACATGCGAGTCGTCAGTGTGACAGTTCGCTGTGGCGACCCCTAAACGGGAAAAGCCAAAAGTGACTTTCTTTGGGACATCCTGATAGTAAAGAGTTACAGTAGTCCATCCTGGAAGTAACAAATGCATGGACCAGTTTTTCAGCATCACTTTGAGACAGGATGTCTTGATTTTCGTGATATTGTGCAGTTGAAGGAAGGCAGTTCTAGAGACTTGGTCTATGTGTGATATGTACCTCATTACATTCCAGAGTGAAATATTGTACTTCACTTTACTGTACTGCAAGACATGAATTTAACAACTACAGTTATGAAGGTGATGGTTACATGAGCTATTTTTCTACTCTGAGTACTTCTACTCTTGATACAAAGTTCAATGAAAATATTTATGTACTTTTACTTAAGAAACATTTTAAAAACAATGCATCTGAGTACATCAGTGAAGAAATGTGCTTAATTAGTCTGTTGAATTCTTTAAGTTTGCTTTCATTAGATAACTTTACTTCCTACAGATTACACATTTCAGTACTGCCGCCGTGCAAATCAATAACTAATCTACTGTAAAAGCTTTCACAAGAAGGTAAATACAGCCCTGAATCACAACTATATCTTACAAGTTCTTTACAACATACAACACTTTTTATTTTTAGGTGGCCTTAAACTTTTGTGAGTAACAAATAAACAGATGGAGGGTTGCCACTTTTCACACACTGATAGTGTACAGTAAATGTACTGCACATGCAGTACTAGCCATGCGAAGCACATAAGATCTAAAATAGATCCAGTAAAAACAACTTCTGTCAAACTTGGAACTATCAAAAACAAGAGCATTTAAGACTGTGGAACATTCAAACAGATCTGGAATACAGCTCTTACACATTTTAGCCAAAGTAATTTTACACCAATTTTCTGCAATCAGCATGATGTCTTTATAACCTACAAAATCGATATCTCATCCCTGTTCTGTCTGTTTCTGAGCACCTCAGTGATATTTGTCTTCGTCACTTGACATTGTCATCAGCAAAAGTTGATTTGATACAGTACTTTAGCTCAAACAATGCTCTTTGTCATAACTTTTGTAACCTCAGCTTCGTGAAATTGTCTTCCACTTTGCAGCCGCTGAGGTGTGACAGAGAGGAATAGCAAATCAAGCATTGGAGCCCAGTTGATGCCATAATTAGGTGATAGGCACTCAGTGCTTTACTTTAAAAAAGAGTTCACAGGATTTCACATTGACTCCTTATCTTCTCATTAAGTTGGTGGAGAAAATCCTGTACTTTTTAATGGTTACAGTGCAGATGAGGGCAGAATCACCGCCAGGGAAGAAGAAATTATTAAAGAGCCGTTCCAGAGATTTATCACATATTTAAAATGTTTGATTGATGTCCTGAACTAAGCTCAATGGGATTTCTCACTTGTGTTCAGTTTCCTCACATCCATTAATTGCATCGGGATAATTGCATTTTCAGTCAATTTTCCTTTGTTTCTATAAATTGATAGTTTATAGGACATTTTCATTTGATCTTGTGTGACGTCCTGCGCAGTTGGAGGCATATGAATTATAACATCCTCTATAAACCTGTCAGAGCCAAGTCCATATTTCTAACACAGCAGGTTTTTCTGGGTGGTGTTGGTGGTTAGACACAAGTAGCTCCCGGTCTCACCTGTTTGTAGACATACTTTGTTTTCTACACACATTGCCAGGAAAAAGTAATAATAGGTGAGATACAGTGCAGTACACTCACAGTTTGAGTAAGGCAATTTAAATGGGGTGTATACAGTGGTGAATTAGTTGGTATAGCAGCAGCAATATGATAATCAATGTCTCGTCGCCAGAGCAAGAGAAAGTACCGCAATTCTATTAGGAGAGAAATATATAAAGCTTATCCCTGACTGGGTTCTGCACAGGTCCCCACAGAGAGACAGATTAATTTGTCGCCATAGCAGAGGTTGCCCAGATGGATGGCTCTCATTGGATGCCAGACAGCAACTGCTGCTGTGCAGAGGCTCTGCAATATAGACAAAGATTCCATTATGTCCTCAAAAACCATTTATCCGGGTGGTGGTGGTGGTGGGGGGTGTTTGCCCGAAGTTGCCACCTCACTCAGCTGTTGTTATTCCAGTAGCGCTGCTCATTGTCATCATGCTGGATTGCTGTAATTTTCGTGTGTTGTGCCGTCACTGGTGTTGTGGCTCTGGTGGGAACACAAAGTTCAGCTGCTTCCCTTCCACAAGTTACAAACATATTTCCCTCCACCTCCACACAAACAAGCTAACAGTATTTTAGTCTCGCTGTCTAAGTCTTAATCATTTAAGCATTGCTGAGTGCATATGCGAATGTGAATGAAGCCGTCAGTGTTTGTAGGCATGGAGTGTGCTTACTCATACCTGGCTCGTCAGTGGATTAACATGCTTACAGAGCCAATAATCGGTGGCACTGTGCTGTGGTGGCAGATGGGGCATCAGTGTGGTCACTTTAATTAGCGACTGACAAGCCAGCAAAAGCAAGGATAACTAGCTCACCGGGCTGCTGACAAGTGTCTTCCCTTGAACCTTTGGCCCATTTGCTGCTGCTGTTTTCAGTTATTAGTTGATAGATACATACACAAGCACATGCACCGCTCATGTATGTGCACACTTGTTAACCAGCAGATAACCGTTATTCATATCACTGTTGCTCTTCTGTGAGACCTTCATTCACATCTCCTGATTGACTTAGGCTAGTTATATGCTGTACATTAGAGAAATAAACCTCAGTTCTTCAGTGTTTCCTTTGAGAAAACAACAACAAATTTTGTTAACTGGACATACAAACATTTTAGCAAACTGACATCTGTTTGACCTCAGACTGCATTGATTTGCGTATTGCTAATTAATTGAGTTTGTGCCTTGAAGATGGAAGTGGAATCAGGCCTGTAATGAGTGTATCAATTTGATTGATGAAAGCCTAGATATCAAACACTATGCAAGTGATTGTCTTAAATGGACTTTTCAAGCTTTACCAAGCATAGGGTCCAGTCATATTTGAGATAAATACCATTTTTGAGTTAGCTGCTTTTATGATTTGTTGTGCTGGTTAGCAGAGGTGCCCTGCAGTGATGTGAAACAAAGGTAATAAGATGCTTGTTAAGAGTCGCACTATACAGTGTCACACACATAAATACAAACATGAACAAACAGGCGTATCCACACCAAACAGAAATGATTAGAGACTCAGTGACCCCTGGAGCCAGGTAAACTTCAAGCTTCTTAGAGCCTTTGTTTATGTGGGCTTTTGCTTCTGTGACACATACGTACATGCTTTGACAGTTGTGGACCATAGGGCAGGAATTGCCAAGACTGAAACAACTGGCTTTTCTTTTCTGCTTTTACCCACAAAAGCTCAGTTTGCTTGTGTTTTCATGGGTAAGATCAGAAAGTCTGCATTCCTCAAGTGAATGGCCACTTGGCTCCAGACATAAGTGCACACACACATGTCTACAGTATATCTACTCCTTCATACACACTCCCCCAACCAGTTGGACTTTTAGCTTGGTGTGGGTCACATGCCCAGCCCCTCCTGACTTGGGTCAACCCCCCAGGGCTTTACCACCACTAGCATGGCCTGCCATCATTAAACTC